AGTGAGTTTTAAGATGATTAATATTCGACCTAGTTACTGTATTCATATAGCTGTATGTTATCATATTTACGTGAGGATTACATCTTGATTTATTAGATTTCCAGTTGCATGTATCATTGTCTTTCCTACTGGTATTATTACTGTCATAGCATGGGTCATACAACCGTTTCATTTTTCCATGTGAGATCTTGTTGTGTGCCATGCACGCTGACATACACCTGATTTCTCTGGTGTGCGTCAGACTTAGGGGACGAATAGGTACAGTTCGATGATGCAGTAGAGGCGGCGTATGCCTAGCCGGAGTGTCCTTCTGATGGAGTAGAAGAACAAGCTGAAGCGTAGTGGTTTTCTTCTATAGTAGTTGTGGAACATTAGAACTCTTTGTCATATTTTCTTTAGTTTGATGATGGATTTTCGTATTTTTAGTGGTACTTTCTTTTATTATGGACTATGTATTTTCTATTCCTAATTGGACTTGTTTTGTAATAAGGATATGTTTGACTCATATTTTTATGTCTAGGATGATCTACTTTTGATGATATGTCTATTTCTTATTCTGGGTTGTTATTATATTTTTATGTCTAGGATGATCTACTTTTGATGATATGTCTATTTCTTATTCTGGGTTGTTATTATATTCTTACTATTGTGATCGGGGACCTATGACTTGATGATATGTCTATTTCTTATTCTGGGTTGTTATTATATTCTTACTATTGTGATCGGGGACCTATGACATATATTCTTTTTCTTGACGCTTAACGTATTAGATTGAGAAGAAACGAAAAAGAAAGAAAGAAAGAAAATTTAATATATATTTCTTCTCAATCTAATACGTCACGGGCTTGTTCACGTTCCGATTCCCAGGTATTTTGGGAAGTGGGGTGTGTCACTCGTCTTCGAAAAAGAAATCGAAGAACAGCTGGAGAAGAGGCGCGAAGAAGATTGAGAAGAGGCTGGAGAAGAATAGCAGAGGCAGCCGAAAACCAAATCTAAGGTTCGTGAAGAGGCGGAATCCGAAAAACAAAGAGAAAGGGAGATAATATGGTTGTGTCAGCTTTTTGACCCAATTCCTCCCAAATCAATAGGATTTGGGTTTCCATAAAAACACCACACTTTTACAACTTTACAGATTTCAAAATCTATAAATGTTTTGTGAACCAAACTCAGTATTAGGATTCATAAATAATTCTTTAGTTATGGTTTTTCCCCTATCAGATCCAAATCCTATTCATTTTCCATAAAAAGAGTGAAACAAACAAGGAAACTAGTAAGGAAGCACGTGCCTTGCACGTGCCTGGTGGATACTTTGATTGTTTAAAGGATTAATTTTAAAGGACGAATGATTTTAGGGACTATTATAAGAAAATTTCATTATGGTTATTTGGTCGCTTATTTCACTTTGGTATCCTTGGTGTATTTTTCTAACACTTTAATCTAAAATTTCAAACACATTTTGTTTCGATATCCCATCCATATTATATTAGAATTTTCCATTAAACTTATATTACGTTAATCAACATGTGATTAATAAGTGATACGGTGCATTTTAAAAAGGACAAAAATAGTGGATGTCCAATATTAAAAGTTGTGTGAAGAGTCAAATTTCTTAGTGATTAAAAATAATTAAAAAGGAATTTGCATCTATACTTCTCATAAGCTTGATCTAGTCTAGATTTTCTAGTTATCTGATATCTTTATGAATGTGTGTGAAATATATAGTTATAGTTAGTACCAGACATTAGATGGTTTGTTGTATATGTGTGCAAGTATATTGATGTGTATGTGTGCAAGCGTATTGTTGCTAATGACAAAGGAAACCAAAGCTAGGAAGAAGACCAACTCTAACGCATGCAAAGAATGTCCACATACAAATAAGTTAAAAATGCATGGACAAAATTGTCTCAATAAATTATTCCACAGAATTGCAAGTGTCTGGTCCCTATTTTTGTTGCGCAAAAAAAAAAAGAAGTATATGTATGACAATAGAGTAGAAGAAGAAAAATACATCTGATGCTAGAGGGCAATTATCATGTTTGTGTGAAAATACAAAACATGAGGTAGGATGAATATTAAATTTAGAAAACTATTAATTAAGTAGTAGATAATTATACTTAAAAATAATAAAATGTATTACTCGGTGATAAGTGCTAGTAAACAAATTGAATGGCGAAAAATATAAACTTATAGCTGATTAATCTAAATAATAATATTTTTTATCACTTGTGAAGACTCAAATGCAATTTCTAAGGTTATTATCTCCTAAAGATGAGCTAGAAATTAGAATACTATCGTAATTAATTAATTAATTAATTTCTAAAAAAATAATTAATTAATTAATTAGTTTCTAATGTCAGGAAAAGACCAGTTAATTTAATATGGTGTATTGATTTAAGAATGTGGTGGGCAAAAGTTCTCATATTATTTAATAACTCTGCTTTTTTATATATAGATAAAAGTTCTCATATTATTTAATAACTCTACTTTTTATATATAGGTAAAAGTTCTCATATTATTTAATAACTCTACTTTTTTATATATATTAAGGAGCATGTGCATTACACGTAGCTTCTTCAGAGTTGTTGCGTATCGAAATTCCTATTAGACACCTGCATCCTCATAATTTGTTTGAAATAGATCATTATAATTACTAATTCTACTCTTCATTTGGAAAATTGATGTTGGAATGACCTAAGTATCGAGGACGTAGTATCAATTGCCCTTATTTGAGGGACCAATTTTAAAATAGCTTAAGAAAAGGGGGCCTAATAACAATTTAAATGATTTGATGGACTAATACCAATATATAAAAGATTTAGATATTAATATAGAAAAAAAACCCTTTCAATTATTTGGTGGCTTATGTTCATTTTGATGTACCAGAGTTATCTATCTTTTCACTTTGAAGCCTTAAGACTATTTCTTTTGACAATAAATAGTATTTTGTTGGATAAAAGGACAAACTAATTATTTAATAGTAAATCTCCGTCAAAATGTCAGGCTAAATTCTTCAAGTTAAAAAATTATATTATTCTACAACCTAAAGTTAATTTAAACTATTTATAAACTTCCAATACATAATTATGAAGATTTGTAAATAGCTTATCTATACAAATCAAAGTATTCACATAGGATTTAGGGCTATTTAGTATTAGTCCCTCAAATCTTACAATGGTTCAATATTAGTCATTCAAACCTTTGACATTACTCACAAGTCCCTTAAATTCTAAGGGCTCATGTAGTACGATACATAAAAAAAGTGTAAACATTGGAGCATCAAGTGTCGAGGAAAAACTCTGGGATATCAAAGTCAAAGTTAGAAAAAAATTTAATTTCAAGGTATGAAACTATAAATAACTCAGCTCCCATTTACATGTATAACTACAAATAATTGGCTATGCACCCTATAGAAGGTACATAGCCCATTTACATGTATAACTACAAATAATTGGATATGCACCCTATAGAAGGTAACTATGTACCGTGTACTATAACATCCTAGCATGCAACTATACACTTGATACTATATAGGTATCCACTTTGTGCTATGTAAATCAGCATCGTATTTTGGGTGTATGGAAATGTATAGAACTATGTGGGTTTCAAAATAAATGGGGTCAAGCTTTGGGTTGAATATCTTATTGCTCCTCAAGAAAAATCGCCCTATTTGTGGGTAAAAATTGTATCAGCCAGTTGTGTGGTGGGTCCCACCAAGTTAAGCAAACTTTTTTTTATTCCACAAACTTCTACACACTCGTGTTCAGCTTTTTAATATAACTGATGATAACTTAAGGATTTATACACGTGTACTTCTAAACTTAGTAAAGGTTTGCACACTAGTCTACTATTGAAAACCTTAGACGTTACAAGTTATACTGTTCAGGCAATATGTACCATTTAATTCGACAAACTTAACGTTTCTCAAAATTACTCTAACAAAGCTCAGAAGTATTATCCCCGGACAAATTTTCAAAACAGTCCTTTTTGCACTTTTAATCCTAAAAAAAACCTTTTTTGAACTTAATTTTAAAAATCGGTCTGGTTTCAGCTTTGGAAACCAGGTCGGTTTTTGAATTTTTTTTACGAAACTTCACTAGAATTGAACTCCCGTGAAGTTTAGCAGATTTTTAAACTTCACGGGAGTTCAACTCCCGTGAAGTTTAAGTTCTTAAAAAACTTCACGGGAGCTCAACTCCCGTGAAATTTTATTGCCCCAATTCCTGCTCCTCTGAATAACCCACTCTCCGTTGCCAACCCAATCAAACCATCAGTAATTGCTCCTACCAACAAACCCACTGAACCCCAAACCAAACCAAAAAGATTATATTTTGATCTGCCAACAAACCCACTGAACCCCAAACCAAACCAAAAAGATCAAATTTTGATCTGTGTAATGAAATCAGCACACACAAAAACAACGACCCAGGTCATTAAATTGAGCAAACCTGTAGCCAAATTTTGGAAAAATAGAGCAAACCTATAGCAAAGACACAGGTGACAACAGTGCATATCAGCTTCTCAGCGAGTTGTGAAGCTAAGGAGCTTGCCCCGCTTCTTCTTTCATTAGAATTTGAGGTGATAACAGAGGACAGGGAAGAGGAAGGTGACGAAGGAACAAGGAGAAGATCCATGGCCAAATTTGGGGAAAATTTGAGATGATTTTTTTAATAAATGACTTGGGGTAGGAATTGGGTTGGCAACAGAGAGTGGTTTGATTGGATTGGCAACAGAGAGTAGGTTATTCAGATGAGCAGGAATTGGGGCAATAAAACTTCACGAGAGTTCAAAAACCCCCGTGAAGTTTCGAATTTTTTTTTCAAAAATTGACCTGGTTTCAGCGTTAGGGCTGAAACCAGGTCGGTTTTTGAAATTAAGTTCAAAAAGAGTCTTTTTTAGGATTAAAAACGTAAAAAGGACTGTTTTGAAAATTTGTCCTATTACCCCCCTTGTTGAACAAGGAACATATAGATCCACTTCTCATATACCAGAAAAACTTGACCACAGACAACTCAGCTCCTAGAAATTATTTGAAATAATAGTGGCTTTCTAAAAAGTTTACTTCTGATACATGTGCTCCACCTAGACAAAACTCTAATATAAAACTCTAAGTTTTAGCAACAAAACCACCTTCAATCATAAGCTTGAGTAACGAGAATTTTTACCATCAGCCGGAGCATTAAACTGGTGAAACCAACATTTAGTATTACCCAAACAAACTCAAAGAGTAGAAAGAAGAAAGCTTGGGTAGCTGGATACACTCAATCGGCAAGGACTGAAGACAGGTACTTGACAGGGTCTGGATGGGAATCTTCTAGATAGGCATCTGAAGCTGATACAAGATCAGGAGAATCTTCTAGCGTAGATCTACATGACGGGTTCCCACTTGGCATGGAGACCTTTGGTGGTCTGGTTAACGGATAACAGATATAAGCTTCCAACTAGCGTTACATCAAGTATCAAGCAATGTGAAGAGAGAAGAAAAAAGACCAAAGACTAGAATAACAATTTTAGATAGCTGATCACTTTTTCTCAGCATTGTGCTTTCTGATCACTTTTTCTCAGCATTGTTGCTTTCCAATTCCTTCCTCAACTGCAGAGAAAAGTCATCATTGACATCGTCATCGTCCCAGTCATCCTCCCACTGCTGTAGAGCTTCTTTGCCCTCTTCTTTGTCATCCCATTCTGCAGAAAAGAGGAAACAAAACAGATTTACTTAGTATTTACTAACATAGTAGGAAAGAAAAGTTAAAAAGATACATTGCACCGGTTGCATACTCCAACGGCGGATAAAAATGATGAAAACTTTTGATCCCAGGGAAGAGGAATATGTGAATCCATATCAATCTTTTTTAGTTGTCATACAAATTTCTACTCCGCAGACATGACCACGTATATGCCTAAGGAAAAGTTTCATAACACCTCAATCATCAAGGGTTTCTCTAAAAAAATGCATGTGTATATGCAACAAGGAAAATATCGTATTGGAAATTTTCACTGGTATCACGAATACTGTAAAGTTCAACACATACTTTGCAGTAGAGAACGACACATTTCTTAATAGAATTTGCGTGTGTCATGCCTAAAGTCAGTAGGGAATTAGGTAAATTAAGGAGGTAGTAGGTTAATAATTTAATATGATAAGTATAGTTCATCAAAAGGGAAGAGGTGAAGGAACAAGGAGAAATGGCATGCTACGTGTATTGTAAGAACTTTTCGTTCAGGCATTTTGTTGATGACAATTGTTATTTGGGATGATGTAGAAGAATTTGATATTAATGCTTCAGAAAGAATTGGAGGGGGAACTTCTTAAAGAATCCATTGATGTAGTCTTCAAAAGGGGTACCAGAAAGTTCTACTGCAGAATCTTTATTTTATCATTATCTCTAGGAGTTTACTTATGGGATTAATTTTCGTAAAGAGAAACATAGAGAGACAAAACGAGTTGGTAATTGGCCACAAAGGCACCAGTGCATGACACCTGACATGTTTCATGCACCAGAAAGTTCCTACTGCAGGAAGGAATTCATTGATGTAGTCTTCAAAAGGGGTACCAGAAAGTTCCTACTGCAGAATCTTTATTTTATCATTATCTCTAGGAGTTTACTTATGGGATTAATTTTCGTACAGAGAAACATAGAGAGACAAAACGAGTTGGTAATTGGCCACAAAGGCACCAGTGCATGACACCTAACATGTTTAATGCACCAGAAAGTTCCTACTGCAGGAAGGAATCCATTGATGTAGTCTTCAAAAGGGGTACCAGAAAGTTCCTACTGCAGAATCTTTATTTTATCATTATCTCTAGAAGTTTACTTATGGGATTAATTTTCGTACAGAGAAACATAGAGAGACAAAACGTGTAGGTAATTGGCCACAAAGGCACCAATGCATGACACCTGACATGCGTCATACATTGAAACTCCATCAAGACATCGTGAACAGTCAGATATACCAAGTTGTGACCAGCCTAAACTTCGAATATTTCGGACTCAAGATACAAGGATATTATATCTTCAGCTAGATGCATGAGATTTAATCGGTAGATTGCCATGCGCGCTTCCAGAAAATGGGGAGGCAAATGAACTAAAGTTCAGTTTCTAAGAGCTCCTCTATCTCCCAATGTGGTCTGCACGAATGATCTTATATTTAGAGGTGTACGTCCTGAGGTGGCGTCTTCAATTGTAAAGATTCAATCTTGTTGAAAATTAAGTGAAGCTCCATTAACAAGATATCTAACACATATAGTAATAAAGAATGATCCACAAAACTTTGCACATTTTCTGAATTAATTTCTTAATAGCTGGTAGTTATACGAGCGTATTTTCATTCAGATGGTGCTGTTTGTGGACTGCAGGCAGAGGGAACAGGGTATGTTTCAAATGGATGCAGGTTTAATATGCTTTTGACTTCAGAAGGGTAACAATTGTTGTCAGTGTGTTGCCATGTTCAAAAAAGCGGAAGTGGAAGGTAAAGCCTTAGGCATTTAAATGAAGTAAGGCATAAGCTTCAAAGCATGAGGCATAAGCCTCATGAGTTTAAGCCTTCTAATTTTATACTGTAAAACTTATGAGCATATAAAGTGGTATAATGGTTTATAAATTGATATATCCATGTCCTAATTTAGTAAATAAGAATTAATATGTGAAGCATAGAAGCAAATCACAATAAACTTAGCTACGTGCGACTTTATTTTAGTCAAAAATTCTTTTAGATCTTCCTATCTTGTCTAAGTTAACTGCGTGCTTCAAAAGAGAAGTGCTTTACGAAGCACGAAGTGCACATTTCAATTATGCTTTCAACGATGAGGCATAAGCTTCAAGGGATAAACAGCTTCACTCTCGAGTTTTGAAGCATCTACCATTCAAAAAGTTTCAGAGCGAGTTTCAAAAAACTTTTTTAAACATTGGTATGTTGTATGTATAGGTGATTGAGGTTTTGCAAATTTTGATTTTTTTAATGTATAGTTGTGAGGGTCTTTACTTGGAGTTTGTACTTCTCATGATCATTTAGTATTGAATAAAACTAATCATTCATACCCAAAAAAAATAATATTAGAAGATCATTTGTGATAGATGTTAGTGACACTAGCACTTAAATCTTTTAGGGTACTTTCTGTTGCAATAAAGTTTAATATTCTATGAATTGGTCTAGCTAATCGCTAAAGATCTATGATTTGGTGAGAACTTGCTAGATCTAGATGTCACACTTACATAATATATCAAGTAATTTTGTCCACTCAACATGCCTTGTACAAATATTCTATGTTTGCAGTTTGTACCTAGATCCATGTATCTGTGACATCGGTTATTACTTACCACTAGCAGGCCAAGAAATTATACCACCATTATGGAGTATGCACATATACTTGCTGCTTATCTTGGGTTCCCCCCTTCCTTTCTTAGATTGTCATGGTTGCTCCATATTTACATACAATCAGTAACATCTTGTTCTTCAATAAGAACTCTTTTTCAATTCAGAATACCAAGGAAATAACTTCTTTCTCTAGAAACTCGAACTCGCCATGGTCCTGTCTACTGTCACATATGCACATCAGAACACAAACAAATTCCTAGCTAATGGAATCTAAATTTGTTTCAAGACAATATTTCAGAAGGGGTCGTTTATTTTCAACTGTACCCAATTAAGCTGCAATCACCAACATCTAAAGAATTGCTAATGAAATCTCAAATTGATTTTACGCAGGTTCCCAACTAACTATTCTAGAATAGTAACTACTAATTCTAAAAAAAGCAAAGATTCAAACTTTCCGGAATTTTTAGCGCACCTTGATCGATTTCGAACTCCTCAAATTCGTCGTCATCCTCGAATAGATCGATCTTCGCGTCCTCAGTCGCCGTCGGTTTGGCCTCCGTCGTCGCCATTAGATCAATGCAAAGGACGAATCTGCAATCAGCAACGAACAAACCCTAATTTATGACGAATCAAGAAATTAGGGTTTTTACTGAAGGGAGAGAAACTTACCGATCTTTCGAGAAACCCTCTCCTGAAGCGAACTGGGCAAAGGGACGGATTACAAGGAGTTGGAGAAAGGGGTATTTTCTTAGTTTTTTTATTTGGACTATTTTTTTAGGGCTTGTTTGGTTATTTCCTAAAAAACCAAAAAATAGAAAAAAAAACCAAGAAATCTCAAAAAGTACAATTTCACACATTTTCATCCCTAAAACTCACCCACAACATCTAATAAAATATTATTTTTATCAAACAACTCATCCACCACATCTAATAAAATATTATTTTCATCCAACAACTCATCCATCACATCCACCACATCTAATAAAATATTATTTTCATCCACAACATCACTCAACTCATCTCATCTCATATTTAAAAATCACTCACATCATCCAATAAGATTGTGACAACTCATCTCATCTCATTAACATTTCATTTCTTTGTTTTCCTCCCAAAAAGCTAGGAAAACAATTTCCTTAAGTTTGGGTCATATCATCCAATAATATAATGACAACTCATCTCATCTCATCTATTTTCTTATTTTTAATAAATAACCAAACAAAAGAAAACAGCCTAATACAAGAAATATGTTTCTTATAATTAATTTTCTTATTTTTTCCGCCAACCAAACAACATCAAAACAAGTTTTCTTAAAAGATCACTCACATCATCCTATAATAAGGTGACAACTCATCTCATCCCATCTCCATTTCTTTGATTTCCTTCTTTTTTTAGCCAACCAAACAATCCCAAAACCTATTTTTCTTAGAAATAGGTTTCCTTTTCTTTGATTTCCCTCTTTTTTAGGCAAACAAACAGCCCCAGTTGAAACTAGTTTTAGGCCCGTGCGATGCACGGATTTGCTTAATATATAAAAATTGATGTAGCAAAAGAATGCAAAATAAACCAGTAATAATAGATAAATAGTCAGAAATGATACAACCTAAGCACATAGAGATACCTGTCAAGTATATATATCTATGAATCAAAACAATAATGATCAATATAGTGATAAACAAAATATCTATCATAATCATATCAAGTAGTTAGGTTCCTTAACGCAAAACCACCAAAAATATATGTAGTACATACAAAAGTTTACTAAATAAGGTTTTAGAGCAGAATACTAAATATAAGTTTCAGACATCATAAATCAGATTGAGATTTTTCAAAAAGGGGCTTGAACTCTCTGTAGAATATTCTAATCCCCCTTTTCAATTTTGATCTGTTTTTGCTTTTTATTGCTAGACATTTACGGAGAGATTAAGTCTACTGAAACTGAGTGATCGACATCAGATTCCAACGAATTTCTCTTGCAAGGAGTAATGTTATCCGAGGAACTGTAGGCTGTCTAAAAATCACAATAGATAGCTAATCCCCGTCAAGCCACAATTAAGAAGGCTACAATCAGACGACTTTCATGATACCATAGAAAAGCTGCAATCGAAGGATGCCCCTATGGACCATGAAGAAATTACAAGTCAACGGTTTCTTCAAATCGAGAGGTAGAATTCACCCCTACAGTCAAAACACAAGTGGCTGCATTCCAAAAGTCAAAGCAACGCAATCATTGCATCCTCAGCTATAAACACATCCTCATATTTGAGATGATTAATCTTAATGGCTGCGACATCAACATGACTAATATTATATTAGCAACTATTAGAGGCGCTGATGAGCAGTGTAATGATTTTAGAAAAGCGGGAAGATCTAGAGAGTTGTGGGCAAATATTCGACACGCTGAGAAGCGCATGGTTAAAACCATGCAAAGAGATCTTAGTGGAGATCGTGACCCGCAGTTGATAGAGCATTATTGAGATGCCTCAATTATCACAAATGGTCTAAATAGGGCCTTCTCGAATGGTCATTGGTGTCATCCATATATAAAGATAAAAAGTGCAGAACGCAGCTTCATCCGCTGCAGAACGCAGCTCCATCCGCTGCAGAACGCAACTTCAAACCGCTGCAGAACGCAGCTCCATCAGTTGCAGAACGTAACTTCAAACCGCTCCAGAACGCAGCTTCAAACCGCTGCAGAACGCAGCTTCAAACCGCTGCAGAACGCAGCTCCATCAGTTGTAGAACGTAGCTTCAAACCGCTGCAGAACGCAGCTCCAAACCGTTGCAGAACGCACTTCCAGATACTGCGTTCAAGCACAGAATCTATGCCAGAACGTAAGTCAAGGTTCTGACTCATTCAAACATGATCCATACAGTTTCGAAAACCGTTTCTCACCCATGATCTGAGGAGTTATAGAAAGGGGTATTTTCGTAGTTTTTTTATTAGGACTATTTTTTCAGTTGAAATGGGAACATGTTTCTTTAGCGGGTCGGGTTGAGGATTTGGATGGATTGGATCCGGCCTGAAAAGAACCGTCTACAAATCTCTTTTTCCATTTTATAAGTAAGGGCCTGTTTGTTTCACTCAAATTTGAGCTGAAAAGTGAAGGAAAAGCCCATTTTGAAAACTGACGACGAAAAATCTGTCAGTTTTTTTTTATTTACGGATGTTTGGTTTGTTTTAAGCGGCGAAAGAAAAAGGAGCTGAAAGTGGTGATTTGCTGAAAGTTCCTTTTCGTTCCCAAAACCCCGATTTTGGTGGAAAGTGATCAAAGCTCGTTTTTTCCCCCTCTCCTTTCACCCTAGGTTTCTGATCACCGCGCCGTTCCTTCCTTCCATCTTCTCCCGCCACCTGCTCTCTCTTCCACCCCGATTTTCCACATCAACTTCGCACGGCTTTTTTCTCCTCCAGCTCTCGATCTTCCTCCGTTTTGATCTCTTGCGATCTTGAGATTGCTGTTCTTGAGATCTTGCGGTTGATTTGGGAATTTGAAAGGAGATCGCTGTTCTTGAGAGCTTGCGGTTGATTTGGGGATTTTGAAAGGTCGCTGTTCTTGATCTTGCGGTTGATTTGGGGATTTGAAAGAAGATCGTTGTTCTTGAGAAAATAGGGCGCTACTCAGGTAAAAAAAACCCTAAACGCTTTATATTTTTGAGATCTTCAGCTCTTGCTCCGATTTGAGCACTGTTTTTTCTCCGATTTTGAGCTCTGACATGTGGATTTGGTTGGTCTAGTTGAGCTTTGATCTGTTTGAGCTCCGATTTTGGGCAATAATTTTGTGCAGCTTAATATATATGCTCTGGTTGCTTGCCTCAACTATTGATCTGAGTTCATGCTAACATGAATATTAGTAGCAATTTCATTTTAGTCTTTGTGTAAAAACAAATTAGTAATTGATGAAGATCAATTATCATGAATGAAGGGCACAGTTTGCAAAATTTACCATGCTTGAACAACCTCGTGTTATAAATTTTAAGAATATTAGTAGCAATTTCGTGGTCTGTTTGACTACGTTATAAATTTTTCCATGCAAATTTATCATGATTGAAGGGCACAGTTTGCGTAATAAGAAATTAGTATAGTCGAAAAACATTATATTTCTTTGAATGATGGGAAATGAATCAATTTTTATGGTTAGAAACTCCTTGTCTGCATTCAATTAGTTGATAGGTACATAGTTATGGACTTTCTTGTTCTTGAGCATGGCTTTGGGTTTTGATGAACTGAATACGAACTAAGAAATAAATTGAAAAATTAATTTGAAGGCAAACATTAAATGTGGTGACAAACTATAAGCTTTATGTGTGTAAAATCTCTGATAGCTCATTTGAGTGACTTATTAATGGCATTCTTCTCTATATGTACACATATTGTAGTTACCATTCTTCTTGACCTAGGGATAAGAAGAGAAAAATATGTATTTTTAATTGTGGGTCATGGACCAGGCTTGAAGTCATCATATTGAACAATGTGACCTGATTTTGTCTGCATTAGTTTCCAAATATATTTTTAAACCCAAGTCTAATAGCTTTGTCTTTTCATTTTGCAAATAGGACCTTAACAATATAATTAGACAACCATCTTCATTTAATGTTACTATCTGCTTTAATATGACGTTTGTATTTTAGATGGATGGTGATCTCGATGAAGAAACCGTAGTTAATATATGTTCGGGTGCTGTACTATCTGTCTTGGTTATAGTTATGGCATTCATGAGGAGAATGCAAAGTAGATGTAGATCTATACGTGTGTTTTCGTCAAAAGTTGCCTTTTTCATTGCTTTCAAACATATTACACCGTTTATCGATTACAAGTTCAAACTGAAAGAAAAGTTGATCTTTTTATAAGATCTTCTTACAATGAAAAATAAAGATTACAACTTTATCAAACAAAATGCAGCAGTAGTTTATCTCCCGCTGCTTTGCGTGAGATCTTTGCCTGTGCCGGGGACGCGTTAGTCCGTGGACCACCGCAGATCAAACCCGATTAACAGTATAACTACGTTCTTGTTTCACAAAGGAAACAATTGCGGAAGCGACAATCACGACCAAGCAAAATTGTGGCTCTTCTCGAGATTAAAACCAAGTTTAATCCGGAGGAAAGGAGGGGAAAGAAACACAAACCTTTTGAAGAACTTTCTTTACGAAAGTATTCGCCAAGATCTGATAATTCTCCTCTGAAATTCGTGGTTAGCTGGACAATTTGACAGCACCTCGTCTTCTCAACCTCCTATCCTCTTTAAAGAAGACCATAGGCTTCTATTTATAGGCCTTTGGAGATGTTCTTTTGAATAAGAATTTGTGTTTAAACGTCATCTGCAGTTTATAACTATTTAAACGCGTTTAGGGATAACCTCAAAATAGTTGGGGAGGTTCTGAGACGAAAGAAGCCTTAAAAATCATCGAAATCAGCGTTTTGGGAGGCTTAGGAGTCAAAAAGAGTCGTGGTGGCTCGGGACTGTGCTTGCGAGCCACCATTTGGTGGCTCGGCTACCTGTCAGCCACCATTTGCTGGCTAGGCTACCTGGCGGCCACCATTTGCTGGCTGACGAGTGCGCGGGTTACTTAGTTTGCCGTTTTGGTGGCCGATGAGCGTGCGGACTACTGCATCAGCAGTTCGTTGATTCGCTGGTCGGTGTCAGATAATCCTCTTTGACTTAAATAATAGCGTTCATCACCTTCTCTCCGTCTCGAGCTGTGTATGGATATCTATAGGCATTTTTAGACACCTACAGATACCCCCTCCAAAGTATTTCAGACTCATTCTTTTATAGGGGA